TAATAAAATATAACTCGAAACTTCGACTTGTCTGTTTGGTAAGTCTTATGAACATGTATTCGAATCCTTTCTTAGCTATTTTCTATTAATCTATTTCCTAATTCTGGCAGGACCAACAGATAAAATCTCGGCCGACAAGAGCTTTCAAATCCAGAACCTAGCTACAGGGGTGCAGGATGCTTAACTGACGATGTATGTGCCGCGTCCCGCATTGAATACGTTCCCTCGCTGGCAGCAACAATTTCTTCCAAGTATCAGACCATTGCGACCTGGGAGTTGCGGACTATTTAGACCCCTGCAATAATATGTATTAGATTCGTCTTGTGATCGCGGCTTAATATATAGTGCTATGGGTACTTATCGAACCGATGTATCTACATATGCTTGCGGGCTGGTAGGCTAGAAAGCTCTAGCGTTCGGGTTGTCCCTTTTTTGTGATAACATCCGATCGATGCTAAAGATAGGTGACGTTGACGGTTGTTAATCCACACCAAATTTCGAAAAGATTAACTGGTTCATCAAACAAGATCGCTAGATTTTCCAGAGGAACATCAACGGCGAGCAAAGCCACCCACGCAGCCCACGTTCCTACTTTATCTGGCGGCATTTGAGGGTGCTGTGCCTTTCCCCTACTAGGGCTGGATCAGGCTTCACAACTTGTCAACCTGGAAACATGTTGCAGGTGTACGCTGCAGTGCGACTCTAAGCTTAATAGTCTAGTGAATGTTGGTTAGCGACTTGATTGGGCCTTGTGAGCTTGTAATCGAAAGTAGAATAGCTCATCCGAGCTTGTTTAACTAAACGATCTGACGATGTACTATAGTAAGCAAGGGATACCCCTGCCGACCCTTTCCCGCCTTTTCTACGATGAAGATACATATGATCGATTGCTCACAGGTACAAATAAGATGGTGCTCTGGTGTACCCTGGTGTAGACGGAATATGCACGTGTAGGCGGGGAAATTGGCCAAGAAACAAGGGGACGTTACAAAACGGGAGATTGGCGGTGCCGGGGTAGACCATGCTAGCTTCTCCAGACAGATTTCAGATGGCAGGATGGGCAGGTCAACGGAAAATCGAACATCTCGAGCATACCATATAGTACATAGTAGCATTGCGCAAGCAGAGAAGAAAGCTAACTTCGCTAAACGATCAGTGCGAGACCCATTTTGCTGACCTTGCGAAAGGAGACGTACATACATACAAGTAGGAGAGTGGCACTCTTACGAGCTTCTGTATTCGAACTGCTTTATTCACATATATGTATTCGACCGGCGACAACAACCCGTGTGGATCCTCGTCTGTAATTTAAAGCTCATCCTAAAGGTTGTGTCGGTACGACAGGCTTGCTCCTTATTATAGGTTTCGTCCGTTTATGTGAACCAAAAATTTCCGGGTGTGTGAGAGAAGCCATCCTTTGAACCCCCACTTTACTGCTATTCCCGACTGCCACCTCTTTATCGTGAGCAATATATGTGGCCGACGCCTTGCGCTCTTGGAGGGAAAGAATATTGAACTTGTGGATGACCGCCGGTCAACACCACAATGGAGTCGCTGTGGGTGTTTTCCCATCAAAGTCCTACTGATCACTTTTTTCGAGCATCAGAAACACTGACCTGGATGATTCAAAGATCTATAACGTCCGACTGTATCACACTCGGTAATGCGATTTTCACAGCTAACATTATACTAAATGGATTCGTGCGCGAGGTACGAGAGGCGCGATCCGATGTGGATGGAGTATCGCGCGAGTTGCACTCGCTGCAAAGCGTCTTAGACCTCCTAAATGAGGATGCTAGCCTATTCCCTCCAGATTTAGCAGAACATATTCCTGCCGTCTTAGAGCATTGTTCTAGACTGGTTAATGAACTAGACACGAGCATATCCAGCCTCAACAGCAATGAGCTGTCGCGGCAAGATAAAAGATCCCAGTGGCTGGCTACTGGGAGACAACAAGTTGCGACATTCAGAACTGCTTTAGAAGCGCATAAAGCTGTCCTAGGTCTAGCTTTGGATTTAGCCGGGGCGTGAGTATAACGTATCTCATAAGTAAATGCATATCTAATAAGGATTGGCAGAACTACAATTCGGGATATTACCTCAGACGTAGAGCCTAATAGGCGAAATACGATAGAAAGACACCAGAACAGCGCCGCTGTTATGGAGGATGTCTCACGAGTTCTAGTCGAGATGAGCCAAGTACGGATGCGACTACCAGGGGAGTTCGAAAAGAACGAGACAGAATTCAGTCTTTATGACTATATGACCCGCCTGAAATCATACGCCGAGAAGATTATTAGTGTCAAGGAGAGCGAGCATGAAGTTGAGCAGAGCATCAAAGAAGCCGATGAAACAGCGGATCAGGGCGCATTTATGGGCGATAAAAAACTATTTGGAGCTTACATCGGAGACAAGCCGGACAGCGCGATCGATGTTAGTGTTGAGTCGGCATCTAAATCACGCAACGATGTGCAAGCAGACCCCGAAGACGAGAAAATTCCCACCATCGAAGAATTGATGGCTAGCTTCGTGGGTATTCCCAGTCGAGCACCCACTCCACCACCAAAGGACAGCAAGAGACGCGATCTTGCCCGAAGTCTTATGGTTTCTCCATTCGAGGCCACTCCGGATTTCCCGGATAATTCTTATGGCGTCGTTACTGAGATCGTTGCTCAAGGACCGCCAGCGGAGTCGCCGCCCTCCATAACGAAAAGCAGAGGATTTGGGAAGTTTTTCGCGCCTCTTAAGCATGCAATTTCGGAGAACAGACCTCAAACACGATCAACGACTTCGACTAACGCTACGGATATACAACCCGCGACTCCAATCATCCAAGCCAGCCTTGTTAGAAGGGGCAGTCATAGATTATCTGTATCTTTTAAGAGGCTCCCAATGTGGAACTCGGAACTGATCATGAATGAGCCCGAAGACACAGCACCCAACGCGGTCTTTGGCGTCCCACTCCAGAAAAGCATGCAGGTTGCTAAAGGAACTTCTAAGACCCACCACTCGGGCCACGGAGGGTCATCGCGGCGAGATTTCCCTCTGTGTATGCAAAAGTGCTGCTTCTTTTTGAAGAACGAGGGAGTCGAAGCTCCAGATATCTTCGCCGAGCCGGGTGATAGTTACAGAGTGCAGAAGTTGAAGGATATCTTCAGCAGTGGTCCGACATATGGCGAAGATGTCAACTGGACCAATTTTGGCGTATACGATGCTGCGGACCTCATTTTACTCTTTCTCTCGCAACTCCCGAAACCGCTGATCGCAGAAAACATAGCTAAGCAATGGATTGCGCTCTCGAGGCAGGCAATGCTCTCAGGATCTCATGCCACGCGGCTGGATCGGTGTATTGATTTCTGGGAGGAAGCACTCGGCGGCCTTCGAGGACCGAGCCGTACTCTGTTTAAGTTACTCCTTAACTTATGGGCCGATATTGCACAAGCTGAGGAGAAGAACGATATGACAGCCGAACGACTAGCCGGCGTCCTTATTAAGCCCCTAATGCACATCACATCTACGAAATACGAGACTGACTTCATGCTATCGCTCGCTTTCCTTATCCGGAGGAGAGTAGAGTATACCGAGTTGCTGAAGAAAGACCAAGCAGACGTCAAGAGGATCAGCAGGGCGGCATGGTGATGCAGTAACCGATTATATATATATATCTTGACATGGGCGTTCTGAGCGTATCGAATTTCGCTTTACGACTCCTTTCTTGATTTCCATCACAATTTTTCCTAACAGTTCGCCTACTCGATATTGAATATTTCGCATAGGAAGATACCCGGCGCAATTTTTTTTATATTTAGTTATATTTCGAGTCGCCTTACAATTTATCTTGTCTTGAATTGAAGCAGGGCCTTCGAGACATCGGCCAAATTACATAATTATAAAGAACAAAGAAGCTTGAAGAAATTTCGGCCGCAGCAGTGGAGAGACGGTGGAGACGCGCCTTGCTTCTATTATATATACACTAGGCGAAGAAGGGAGGTGGAAGTGGAGGGGGAGGCTGGGATGATACATGATACCTAAGACATATACATATGATATCAAATATTTTTTTTTTTCAAAGTCGACAAACAAGCAAAGATTTTTCCATCTCAAGTGGGGAATTATATATATTTTGTCAAAGGCGATGCTGTCTTGTGGGTTTGCTGGATTTCAAACATGTCTGTTGATAGTACCGAGCGAGCTACATACCTAGTTAGCTGTGAGACGATCCCTCTCGATGTAGTTTCACGTCAAGTTGTCCATGACGAGCATAGCATTAGGTAAAATAAGATTAAGATAAAATCTTTGCTGTCGAGCAATGAACGTAAGCCATGCAGTGAGATGAAGCTGGCCAATTATGTATGAACGAGAGAACCCGAGTATGGTCAGATGAATCTACTAATACAATGACTGACTCGATTCGAATATTGTAAAAGCAGACCTAGTAATGTATGTCGCGAGTACGCTGTTGGAAATAAGGCGCGTTCAACTTACATAGCACGAGGTTATCCTCACTAGACGTCATTGAATATCTAGCCCAAGCCACGTTGCACGCCTATCACTTAGGTATATATGATTATTCTTTCCGCTAGATATAACTATGCTATGTGCATTCATAATTACAACATTCATGCAGCGGTGAGGTGTAGGTGTTTGTGCTAGGACGCCAACGCCCGAAACCTGCTGATGATGATGCAGTAATCACGGAGGTTGGCTAGCCCGGCCCAGCCCTGAGAGGTCGGTTGAGCACTTGACGGCTAAAACACGCAGTAGCAAGTTAAATGTAATGTAATTGATGAGGCAACCGCGACTTGCAGATTAGGTAGTTTAGTAATTAGGAGAAACCGCGTCGAGCGCCTAATAGTACCTACGGGCTAATCAGCTAGGTTAGGTACCTACCTACCTAGGTACAGAAGGTAAAGCAATCACGTTAGAGTGGATCCCCACACGTCGAAATTCCTTAAAGAATAATTAAAGTGTAAGAAAAATGCTTGGGTCTTCCCCCCCAGCCACGAAACTCTGCTCACTTCAACCTTCCATTAGATCGGTCTCTCTTCACCAGGCCAAGCGACCCGGTCCAGATTTCGGTCATTGATCCGACGAAAACTTAAATCTTTAAATTTAAATTGTAATTCTCTACTATCCAGTTTACTCTGTATCAATTCATTGTCGAACACAATTCGTCAGCGGAGAAAAGAAAGGGCACGGTGCAGAACTCGGACACGGAGCCGGGTTGGATCTGGTGTAAGTGGATTTGAGTTAAGTGGAGAGGGGGGAAAACCCAGCTAAAAAAAGAGCGTGTAGTGAACGCGCACCGCGACTCCAGGTTCCATCTTAAAGACGCGCAGAGAACCCACATCTTTTTGGCAGGGCGTACCCGTGATACAGCACAGTCAATTTTCTCCTCCCAAATCTCTAAATCTCAAATCTCAAATCTCTTAACCCCCTTCCTTATCCGATTCGACTTTTATCTTTCACCACACATTCATTCCATCATCCATCATTACAGTCCCGCTATCTCATTTCTCTTGCCATGCATTCTTGACCTTTCATCATGACATCCTCACCCGTCAAGATTATGGATCGAGCGGATAGAGCCACAGCAGAGGAGCCCACGCTCCCCCCTGCGTCTGCCTCTATCTCGCCCAGCAAGAAACGTCCTGCACCTTCTTTGCTCCCCCCATTCGAGCCCCTCTCGTCTTCGCCTGGCTTCCCAAGGCCTATGAAGAGACTAGCTCGGGATAAGCTCGTCGACTCGAACCCCTTCTTCAAATATCCCACGCCAATTCCAACCTCCAGTACCGGCATACTCTCATCATCTCCCCCACGCGTATCATCTTCCAGACCTGGACTTGAGCGTGCGGAATCCGCATCAGAACGAACACCACTGTCCGCTGTACGATCTATCGAACTTAACGAGAATGGAGATACGCTTCTGATGGGCCGGTCGAGTAATTCTTCCCACTACCAATTGTCGGCCAATCGTCTCATATCCCGTATCCATGTCAAGGCACGATATGTCCCGGCTGTAGACCCCTTAGAGCCAAATAGGGTGGAGATCATTTGCAATGGCTGGAATGGAATAAAACTTCATTGTCAGGGGCGAACTTGGGAGTTGGGGAAAGGGGACACCTTTACCTCTGAAACTGAAAACGCTGAAATTATGTTGGATGTACAGGACGCGAGGGTTATGTTGCATTGGCCTAAGAAGAATCGGCATGAACCCGTCGCAGCCTTATCAGACTCATCTTGGGAGGAGTCGCCATGTTCTAGACATCGTCGTAATGACTCAAGTTCGGACTTCCTGCAGTCGAGTCCCCTTCGACGACAGACGCGTATCAGATCCCCTGAATCGCCTTCTCCACATAATTCTTCTAGCAACTTAGACACGCTGCTCCTAGCTGAGGATGCAAGCGAGCCTGTCCAGATATATGAGGATGCGAGTTCAGATGAGCAAGAGCTCCCTAAGCAGGTATCCGATGTGGATGCGTCGTTTGCCCAGACAGAAGTTACCAACAGTTTCTCTAGTGATCTTAGTGATCCTGATGATGATGACCCTGATGAGGAGAATGATCCTATTGTGCACTCCTTTGGTCCGTTTGGAGCTAACCTCTCCAATCGTCTGGCTGCCTTCACGGCAGAATCGCCAAAACAGTCGTCCCATGTTTTATCAGGTGATACAACAGCCAAGCCGTCAACGGAGCCGGAAGAGAAAGCAGTCGTTAGCAGTCGTGTTAACGTAGGAATTGTCAAGAATCACGTCGTCAACCAGTTGGCCTATTCTCGACTGTCATCCACTCCCTTGTCCACTATACTAAGTCTCCTTCCCGCTGAAGAGAAAAGAGACCTGACCAAGGCTGCACTGCGTGAAATCATCGAGTCAACGCCTTGCATTGGCGTTATTCCCCGCCATGGAAAGGACGCGGCCGGCCAGCCGCTCGAGAGCCAATATTACTATGACCCCGACCATGATGATGACGATTCGCGACGGATTGCCGTGACCCAAGGCTTGCGAAAGCCAGGTTTGAGAGGTTGCCGGAAGCAGCACAAGGTAACCCTCTTACGAAATCCTCTAACATTAGACACGGCAAATACTAACTGTGTTTAGCAATACTATTGGAAGCCGCCCAAGGCTTCCTAGACGCCCGAGCAGCAGGCTATCTCGATCTGTGCTCGGTTTCCCTGGGTTTATCCAAAGCTTCATATCACTGAAGTGGGTCATTTTCGTGGATAATACGGAACTTCGTGTTCTTTTTTCACTGTCTGTTATTGGCGTTGGCAATTGAGTCAGCATCGTTGCCATCCCCCCGTGCATAGCTGGAGGCGTTGGATGGCTCATTTATTATGATTTTTTGATTGGAGTTCAGGACGTTTCGATGATATCCCGCTACACTGGTTCACAGTGGTATATGAGGAAGATGCGATTAGGAAGACGTGACGAGTCACCGACGGCACCTCGCTGGTTAAGATATACGGTTGGGGGGGGGAGGGGAAGAGGTTTGAGATTGCACAAGCTGCGGACACTCATCACCTGTGTACATAAGGAGGCAATGGAGAAACGGTATTTTGATTTCTTTTCGATTAGATCTTCCCTGCTTGTAAATATCTCAACTATGTACGGTAGTTGAGTGAGTGGCGTTTGCAATGTTGTATTAATAAGTGGAAGTTTAACTTGTCTGGGTGATGTACCTAGGTAGTGTAAAGTTTAGGTAAGCACTGTTCGAAACTATGACGATAAATTTAACGGGGCTGAAAGGATTGATGAGGTCGACTTTGCACAATTGCCACTAAGATAAGGCCTTATCAGCTAGAAGCTACCCCGCTGCCCCGCAGTCTTTATTTTTAAGTTTGTTAATTCGTTTCCACCCTCGCCGCCCATGCAACCAGGCAACCTATTATCAACGGTTGTATTAGCATTTGATGAGTCTACCAATACTTCGCTAGGGCTGTCCTTAGCAGACAGGAAACGGGTGATCAGCGCTGCATAGTCGTATGCTTCATCGCGATCTAGACTGCCCATCCTTTACATAGAACGAACATTCCAGGTTATATGTTATAGTTACTCCGTAGCATTCTCTATATAAAAGACGTTCAAGTTCCATTACTCTTTAACCTTTAACTACTATATCTTCCCCTATCTAATTCTTATGAATTTTATGAAATAACTAAGTAACACGTCATAACACGTCATCACAGACAATTACTTATACTATTATAACAATATGCCTACCCAACCGGAGAACATTCGTATCGACATCGCCAACTTAGTTGCAGTAGCACAAGGTCCCACCAGTCCGCAGCACGAAAAAGAGGCTGCGCGCGCAATAAGTATAACCGACAGCTGGAAACCGTCCTGGGGACACCAGCAGAGTGTAAGTGTATACCTACCTAATATACCTACATCCCTTGCAATGTAGACGTGGACGTAGAATAATTGCTAACTCGTTATTCTTTTTACAAACTCTAGTACCGCAACGAAGACCGGAAGCACGCACTACAGATGAACGACGTATGGGACGTCAAGGTGGGCCCGGGGTTCAGCGAGCGCAAATCGTCTACCTGACCTAACGTACTATATACCTCTATCAACAACATGTATTCTTTTCAAACAACTCGCGGGCCATGGGAATATGAAGGGAAATTGCATAAGTGCTTTCAATTAGCAATATTACTAGATTGAGTTGTTTTTTACATACGGACGATGGTAATATACGGGTTAGCCTTATACGGGGAGTTCCGGACTTTTGAATTATCGTAAGGGGGCGGAATGGGATTCAGCATGGTCAATTGGATGGGGGACGAAACGGTACAAAGGGGTTGGAAACAAGATTGAAAAGGCAGCATGACCCCAACATATTGGAACGTCTCTTACACCTATTGTACCTACCTACATGTAGGCACCTAGGTTAGGTTAGGTACTTCCGTGTGCGATTGTGTATTACATCAATTATACCTAATATTTACCTAATGTCTCGTGACTACATAACTTAGCAGATGCAGTCTGCAGAGCTAGGCTGTGTTATCTGATATGTAAGTCATTCAACGTCTACATTATAACACATAGGTCTGTCTAAATTTGTCTATTTTCAGCTTAGAAGCTCAGGGAACCTCGGCCTAGACACGCTTAAGCCATACATAATATCCGGTCACCCGGAGCTATCATGATTTGCACACATCAATTTGATATACGAAATACTTGTAGATTGAAGAGGTAACGCTAGACCTGACTTAGGGAGCGCTGGTTAAAGTATACATAACGGAGAAGGGGTAGTCATGCGCCGACCAAAAACTACTATACAGCCAAGCAGCAGTTTAACAATGATTGGAATACCTATTGATACCTTGAAGCATCTTCGTAAACCCGAACCCAGTTCCAAAACCAAGCACCCATGCCCACCACTAAAATGCTATACAAACTCCCTATACTCCATCATCCCGTGTTGTTCATCCTGTGCCTTAGCATTCTCGTAAGACAGGGTGATAATCTCCCATAAACGTATGATCAATCAGAAGCCAGTTGGCCCCCGACCGTCAGTACCGCCGGTTATGAAATATTCGCTAACGACGCCAAGAGCGTACGAGATTCCGGCTACCCAAGCACCACCTATCAGCACTCGTTTGCCAACGCCATCCTTCGGATGAGTTCGTGCTTCCTCGCGGGCTGTTGATTTGGGCCCACTAAACACAGGCTCTTCTCTTCTAACGTCGATATTAGAACGGAAAGCAGGTGCTTGGGTCTCCTCTTCAGCTTGTGGCACATCGTAGTTAACAAATCCTGTAGGTGAAACAAATGCGGCCGCATTTGGCAAGGCTGTCGGCTTCCCCATCATATCTATAGGGTTGACCGGCGACGCGCTCCCATGGCTTGTTACTTTGGGGGGTCGAATTTGACGAAAGACCAGCACATCCCCACTGCCAGATACGATCTCGAAGCCCTCGGCTTGTAAGGGTGCGAAGTGTGGAAAGAATTTTGTCGGGTTTGATAGGCGGAGAAGTACTTCTGCTGGTGACAATGGAGATGCTTGATCGGGTACAACTGAGGTGGTTTCGGCGACGTTGATCTTTTGCATGGTTGGGTCATAGGCTAAAATCCTATACACCGTCGGCTCGGTAGTTCGGTTCGGTTCGGGCGTGGTATCAGGTTCGGACGATGAAACTGGCGGTCGTCCGTCGACCTCGGGGTCTCTGAAATATAGCGGCTTAAGGTCAAGAATCTTTTGACTAGCATCTTCCGCTGATAAGGAATCCAGCGCTGCTTCCCTCGAGTCGCTACCGTACGTTTTAGCGAAGGTTAATGGTGTTTGTTCCCCGTCACATTCCCTGGTATACGACGTTTCCAATCCCTGTGGTTCTTTAGAGTACGGGTCAACTTCGGCCTGCGCTCTATAGTGATCAAACATGCGTCTCGTAGACCTTACCTCTGGCTGGTTGGGACCCGCTTCCAGCTTCGGTTCAGTCTGCTGCCTATCCAAGCTCGTCTCCAACTTTTGGGAGTTTGTAGACTTAGAAAGCTCATCTGAATATTGCCTCTCGGCCTCTTGAATATACGCCGTCTTTCCGTCCGGGCCACCCCATGATCCTGAAAATTCTTCCGGGAAATCACGGAGATAATTGCCAGTCAATCCTGGTTGACTTGATCGAGATGCGGTTTCCGTAGCTGGAGGTTGATTGCGCTCTTGTGACGAGAATTGCGATACGTCCTTGAGGTCGAGCTTTTGAAGCCCATCTAGGATACTCGATGTTGGGTTCTTATCCAAAGTTGGTTCTGGCGCTTTTGCGTCGAATTCCTCGAGAGACTCTGCAACGACGTCTCGCTCTGGGGTGACCGCATTATCGAGTTCTTGGGACCTGAAGATTCTGTACTGTTCGAGGTCTCCATATTGTTGGAAAGGTTGCTCCTCCGGCGCAGAGTCCTCAAAGGTTTTTGTGTCGTACTTATCCAAGTCATCGTACTTGGGTGCCGAGTCGTCCACTGGTTTGGTACTGTCTTCCTTATAGTGCTCGTACTTATGAAGATCATTATATTCAGTGGGTGGAATCTCTCCTGCCGCATCTTCTTGATACTTATATGGTCCATACTGGCCCAGGTCATCATAACGTTCTGTATGCTTTTCGGTCTCTGTATTTTCGTTATGAATGTAGGGCTTGTACTCATGTAGATCTTCGTAATCCTGGCGTGCTTCTGCACTGGCATTTTCTGCCTCTTTTGCCCCGTATGTATTGTACTTATCGAGATCTTCATAGGTCTTAGTTGGTTCTGGGGCCCGTTCGTCAACCTCGTCGCGCTGATATGCTTGGTATCTATGAAAGTCATCATACTGCTCATCTGGCTCCTCGGGTGGGAGATGGTTTAGGGCGTACTCTTCGCTTTGTATCACGGGATATCGGGGGGACTCTACGTTATCACCTAACGCTTTTATCCCATCGGGACCACCACTGGCACTATGAGATGGTACCTCGTCAATCTTGATTTGGCCATACTCTTTGAGCTCTATAGAAGGAGGTGGGCCGTCGGAATGAGTAGGACCTGGGTTTTCCCCATCTTTGGGTGGTGCAAATGCAGAGAACTGTGCCCTATATGATTTAAAGGAATTGGAGGGGGATGACGTCGTATCAACGTCTTGTCCGTCGAATTTCCTTCGGATTTTACGCATCGTGATCGGATCAATAGTATAGTCTTCACTGGACGATACGCCAAAATCATTTTCTTGTTCCTTAGTTAGGTTGTGTTTAGCACCGGCCGACTCTGGCTGGGCCGTGTGTTTCGAGGCTTTGCCACCCCAATGATCCATCGCATCATCTAGTCGAGACTTCCACGAACGGGTGGACGAATATCGCATGTAATCGCCATAATTACTCATCCAGGAGGCATACGAATTAGGGCTCCATGGTGTTTTCATGCGTGCATTTTCAGTGTCTGGAGTTACTCGACCATGACGAATTGAACGATCGGCGACAACAGAGTCGACAAACCGCGAGCCGCATCTTGGCCCGGTTGGACTCGAATAACTACCGAACGTATGCTTTAATACGACTTTTGGGGCTTCATTGCTGGATAGTTGGTCCCATGATAACTTTCTAAGTGCTTCAACATATTTATGCTTAAGCACACGTTGGCGATGTCGAAACTCTTTCTGGAACTCAGGGTCAAGGTAGGAAGACAACTTGACAAAGCGAAAGCTGCGGATCTGCTGGTTCGTTCCGGCCCTTAACAGGGAGTCGCTAGTAGGTCGTAGAGCGCCGCAGGCCACAGCTCTGGTCTGAAAAGACCTCGCTTTGGACGGCGGTTGGCAAACGGTGCGGGTTAACATATTGATTGAGTCGTAAGCAACGGGAGCATCATATACCGTCCGCTGGAGAAGCACACGAGTCAGTAGCGATGGTGGGTGTGCGATAATTACAATGTTAAAGATACGAAATATGTCGCCACTGTCCGGGGGATTGATACAATAGGTAGTTGATAATACAATAATTGATACAATAAGGTGATCGCTAATAGGAGAGGGTGTCACTTACATAACGCCAACAGGTCGACTATAGAAGCAAAAGCAAACTCATCAACTTGGCCAGCTAGGAAAGATGAGTGTAGTTGGATTGCCTACCATCCCCGCCGAGGCTCTTAGAACTTGAAAGGGAATGTGAGGAGTTGTCCTGTAGGCGGAGAGTTACGGAAGCGGGGAACCCGGGAGCGGGTTGAAACGGGAGGATCAGTTCATAGGAGTGCGGAGAAGAACGCTAAAACTGTCATAAGCTGCATAGCTGCCCCAATTAGGACAGTGGGGACACTTGTGGGGTAAACTGTTTCCCCCTGGGTTTTACCCGAGTACGTATTGTACATCACATTTCGTGCATGCAGGTCCCATACCACATACTAGCTTCAATTTTACATATATGGAAGCTTTTACATGTAGGCGTACCCAGATATTCATTTCGAGATGATACGCAATTACTTTTCTTAGAAACCGCTGTTTATATTTTACTTCATTCGACGCTTTGCAGTGTTTAGAATCCAGTCTGAATACAAGAATGCGGAAAAACTCGGCTCAATCTGGATAAGAGCGGGAGCACGTGCTCTGAGTTAGTTACATGTAGTACATAAGTACAATACATGGATATAGCTGCATGCTTAAGTACCTATGTACATAGCAACTTACGTAAGGAAGGCGACGTCACAAAAAAAACGTAAACCCCACCGTGGGGTCAAAATATCCCAAGCCAATCCATGGAAAACGAAGCTTTGATTAACAACGGCGCATTCTATGTCGTGACCTTCCTAACAACTCTCATTTTATCTTCCATTACGCAAGACCGAGGGACTTAGGTACGGGCTTTGTCACATAACGGGTAACGAATGAGAGAGCTGCGTGGCTTCGGAAACTAAAACTAAACGACTGCCCCCGTTGCCATGAGTCGTAAGCCAGCCAAGTCGCGTGCTGTCGCCGGCAACACATTTACGAGTTTCGGATCCAGTACCTTCAGCACTTTCTCAACTGCTTCTAAAGGTGCCGACCTATCCTACCTGGCCGAACCTCCCGATCTCTCCTCTATATCTGACGCCAATGTTGTTGTATCTCTTAAGAACCTACAAAAGAAGGATGCTACAACCAAAGCAAAAGCCTTAGAAGAATTAGTGGCCTATGTTCAGGCTCATCCATACGAGCGAGATGGGGGCATAGAAGAACCTATTCCAGAGGCTTGGGTGCGTGCAATCTACTTAGATCAATATATTACCCTGCTTAGTTAGTAATGTGTATAATAGGTCCAATTATATCCTCGCGTTTCAATAGAAAATGCCCGTCGCGTCCGCGAACTCTCCCACGTATTGCAGTATGAGTTAATGAAGTCCGGTCGCAAACGTACGGAGAGATATGTGCCTAAGATTGTAGGCTCTTGGCTTGCTGGAACATTCGACAGAGACAAAGTCGTATCCCGCGCGGCTGCGGAAGGACTATCTTCATTTCTCACGAGCCCAGAGAAAGTGGTCCAGTTTTGGAAGCGGTGCCAGTCGCAGATCCTAGACTATGCATCTGGTGCGATAAGAGAGACTGCGGAAACCCTTAGCGACGAGCGATCTACGAGTATCGATGATTCCGAGGCCAAGTCCTATCGAGTCCTAGGAAGTAGCCTTGCGCTAGTCCTAGGTCTCTTACAGAAACTGAATCCTGAGGATCTTGAGAAGTATCAGGACGGTTATGATCAATTCTTCGAGCAGGATAAGGTCTGGAAGAGTGTTTCTATTAATGATACCGTCGTAAGGCAGTTATCCTGCCAGCTCTTGATCGCATGCCTTGAAAAAAGACCAGGAAGGATCGAGGCAGACCTTAGCCGACTTAGTAAGAATTTCGTTGCCGAAGGCTTGACGTGTAGTCAAGTTGGTTCCGCGGCTAATTATGTTGACGCATTGACCGAATTGACTGCTAGACATCCCACTGTCTGGACATCTGAATACCGGGGAAAGAAATCACTGGCGTCAAGACTAAAAATATTTTTAGAGAAGGGCTCCCAGAGTGCTGGATCAAAGTTTTGGGTCTCACTTAATCGCCTGATAGAAGTTATACCCGCCGAGATACTTCCAAAGGACCTAGACAGCGCCTTAGACTTCTTGAAATCTATGAGGCTAGGTCTAACCAGGAGAGAAGAACCTCGCAGCAGCGCTATTGATGGTTGGTCAACGTATCTCAACGCTGCTAGGAAATTTATCAAGGTGATGAACTCTGGCGAGGACCAAGTCAAGATAGCGCAGGAAGACATATTCCCTCTAATAGCGCACTATTTATATCCAACCCCTGAAACATCAATATGGGCTTCTGGGAGCCCAGTGCAGATTCTAATCAAAGCATACACATCAACAGCAACTTCGCCATTCAAGGAAGTTATAGAGGCCACAGACTCGGAATGGGGCCAATGGAAAGAGAACTTCAGAGAGCGCATCCGCAACTCATTACCCGAGGCATCGAAGGAATACGAAAAGTCACAGAAGGCAATAGCCGACGAGGGCTATAAATGGTTTACTTTTACGGGTTTAATTTCGGACGCTCATGAGAAAACACTAGGGACTGATCGCCCCATCCCGGATATCCCGGCCAAGTATTCCCTAGAATTGCTTCGGGACGTCTTCAAGTTGTTGGAAACAAGGAAATGGAAACCATTTGGAGCTGCAGCTACCGTAGAATCAGCTTTCAAGCAATCCCCGCGCCTCTTTAGGCAATCCTCAGCCGCTACAAGCGATGTATTCGACTATTTTATAAACACGCTACAAACTAATGGGGCCGAGTTTATCCAGTCACCAGCTGCATCATATATTTTCTCAAGCATCAGCCTGTTAGGCCGTATTCCCGAACAGAAACAGGAGTACGAGAAAATTTGGAAGGCAAACATCACGACCCTTCTAGAATACACTGAAATCCCCAGCACTTTGCCGGCCCTCACTACTCTTATTTCCACCAAGGAAGCTGGCGCTCTTGCCAAACAGTTCCAGAGCTTACAAGAAGAATTAATAAAGCGGTGCCTGATGTGTGCTGTCGGCACCATCGATTCAGGCTGGGGCCTTTTCGACACAGTGTTGACCTTCGATACGTTAACAGACGCTGCTGCGAGTCGACTTACGAAGGAGCTTGGAGGTCACATCACGAACGCCTTAGGCCAGCCAAATCCAGGTGTAATTAAGGGTTTACGTCTTATAGCGGAGAAGAAGCCGGGTCTTTTACTACAGGACGAAGTAACTCACATGAACTTGATGACCAACTTACTAAGTGTTTCCGAACGGTTCGATGCTACTTCTGATATAGCCGTGCTAAAGGGATTGATGGAAACCCCGTCAACTGGTACTTCTCGGCTATCTGGCGTCGTGCAGCGAAGTATTTCTACCGCTGATTCGAGTTCGCTTGCGTATGTTTTACCCCAATGTTATCTTATAGCCCTGCTAACAATGCTTCAGCGTCGACACTATTGTCCGGCAAGTTATTCAAAGTGCTGTTACCGATGCAGAGATCAATGGTCAACTGGAAAATTTGATACCGGACACAAAGATATGGAGAGAAGAGCTAGCCCTCTTTCTACAAGAGACACCCAACCAGTCCCTCGCCTTCACAAGTGTCATTGGCGGTGCTTATTTCCTCCCGACATCCGCGCTAGCTACATCGAATATATCTGTAAGAAGAGATCGAGATGGCTGTTCGATTCCCGGGCGCATGACGGTGTACATTGCTAAGCTGCTTTCCGCGGGATTTCAGCTTGACGCCCTGCCACTTGTAAAGCGCGTGGAGATCATGACATATTTGAGCTTAACCGCACAATTAGTAACAGATCAACTAACAGTCAAAGGTAAAGATCAGATTTGGAGTTCGCTTTCCTCCGATGCTTCTCTATCAAATGCTGAAGAGTTGGTCTCATCTGCACGAAAGGCTATCGTCGATATGACAGAGGATGCTGCTAATTGGAGGGATGGTTCTAACACGGATAAGTCGCGGTTAATGTACGACATTATACGAACACTAATTGACGAGTCAAGGCTATTAACGCCCATGGGTCTATATTGTGCGCGGGCTCTGAGTGAGATTCTCCAAGCATTAGCAGAGAAGTACGGCTTTCCTTCTAGCGGGGAGCAATGGCTATCTGATTTGGATATACTCAAGAATAACGCCTCCACTGTCTTCCCTGCTGTCGCAATCCTTAGTGGCCTTGGCGAAGCGCTTTCTGCTTCAAGGACAGTCAGCAACTTTTGCAACCGCCTAGTCAGCGATATTACAGGAGCCAGTCCTAATCAGGAGAAAAGCCTTATCACTCTCGTGCTTCTCAATGCTTGTACGCAGATATATGATATCGGTGAACTTCCAGTCGCGAATAATCGGTTGGTTTTCGCGGTCAAGCAAATCACATCCTGGCTGGACACTCCTGAAGACCTCGACTATCGTTTCGGAGCAGAAGTATGCCGTAGCCTCCAGCGCCTCCTCCCATGTGTCAAAGACATCTATGGCCCTTATTGGGAGAAGACCGTAGATTTCTGCATATATCTCTGGACAAAACCGACGACTGGGCCACTTGAATATCGGTTGCCTGAACTCCACGCTTCTCTTCGTCTATTTACTACGTTGCAGTCACTTGAAGAACCTAATGACGACCTTATTGATATCTTGCAGACATCCGCAGGGAAAATATCAGCTGCATTTATTGAGCTACTCAAAATTCCTAGGGAAATAGATACACAGCCCCTGGAGATTGTAGACTCAATTATCTGCCGGCTGGTAGAAAAGCTTCCTCTACATCATATAAAGGATCTCTCGGAGTTATATGGTCTAGTAGCAAGCGACTCGCGGGGCATCCAAACAGCAGCGTTTACTATTCTTCATAAAGCACTTCCTGTCGCCCAGGAGGCTCTTTCGCTAGACGTTTTATTGGAGAAGAAAGCGGCTCAGCTTCCGGACGAACTCTTATCTCTTCTTCTCGATGCCCCAACGCTGGAGCAGTACTCTGACGAAGCACTCGGCCGTTTCCCATCGCCAATTCGCTCTTATCTTCTCTCTTGGCATCTCATATTTGACTCATTCAAAGCCGCGGCATTTAAAGTACGTAGTGATTATGCCGAGAATCTCAAGGCAGCTAATTATGTTGGTCCACTGATGGAGTTCACTTTCGATGTTCTGGGACATTCAGCGGCCCATGCCCTGAACCTAGATAAGGCCAACTTTACGAGGGAGCATATTAAAAAGTATGACATAAAGCTCGCCGAAGCCGAAACCGAAGAGAGGAACATGCAGTGGCTCCTCATCCATTTATACTACCTTGTATTAAAATATATTCCCAATCTCTTCAAGGCATGGTACATGGAATGCCGGTCAAAACAGACCAAGATTGCGGTCGAAGGTTGGATGACGGAATTCTTCTCCCCTATCATCATATCGGAAGCATTAGACGACGTTGAAAATTGGTCCACGGCCCAGGAGGCACCTGCAGATGGCGAAAACGAGTTGATCGTGAAAGTGAGTCGCGCTGCTAGAGAGGTTACTGCTGGCTACGAGGTAGATGAGCTACAGGCATCGATTGCGATACGGCTCCCGCAGGAGTTTCCTCTCGAGAACGTTTCGGTGACGGGAATAAACCGCGTCGCGGTCAACGAGAGGAAGTGGCAGAGCTGGATCATGACAACGCAGGCCGTGATAACATTTTCGGTGAGTTAACATTGTATTACCCCTAAGACTTGGATATTGTATCTCACATCACGACGATAGGGCGGCAGCATTATTGATGGCCTCACGACTTTCCGCCGTAACATAGTGGGTGCCATGAAGGGACAGACCGAATGCGCCATCTGCTACAGCATCATCAGCAGCGACAAGAAGACGCCGGATAAACGCTGCCAGACGTGTAAAAACCTCTTCCACCGCACTTGCCTGTACAAGTGGTTCCAGAGTAGTAACCAAAATACATGCCCCTTATGCCGTAACCCGATCGATTATCTCGGGTCGGATAGGAGAGCAGCAAGGAATGCTTAATAAAAAGGAATCTGGGCGGGCTCGGCAGAATAGTTGGGTTGTTAAGGGGATAATTCTACCGAGTAGGAACCTAGTTATGAACTGTCTCGTTGAAGAAATGGCTGGATCAGGCGTATAGTGGTGAGGCTAATGGTAATGGTACTAGAACATGTTCAGTATTCGCAAGTCATAGTACAGTGCTAGGTTAGTTGAATCGTAAAGTCTAACATTATGGTGCTCAACTACCTCTCTCATTTCTAAGGGTCATTCGTAGTTATTCATTTTTCAAGTATGAGACTCCTCCGTCTTTGCTATGTACCTATGAATGGTTATTGTATGGGTGGTTAGTTACTGTATGTGTAGTTCCCGGTGCTTATATAGATTCACAACTTAAGTAAGGATACGAGTTATGATTACTGATTTCGGACTTATAAATTATCGTAAAGGCCTTAAATAGAGTTGAAGCGCAGCGGTGAAGTACGGCATGCCAAGCCTCCTTAATAGGGTGGCGATTATTATATTTGGGCTATGTGATTCGTAGCATATTTGGGCGTTGCAGGAGGAGTTTGCCGACAGGATTCCTTCAGTTTTTATATGAGGAGTTGTGCTACCTTTGCCAAGTGATCTTTCTTGCACTAAAATATATTTAGTTAGTCGCTTGACATCCCTGTATGTATGTTCAATATTTATAAAAATTTAATAGGTTCGTTCGTACTCTTTACCATGCGGCCAACCTTCCAATTATCCTTAAATTCGCACCCTCTTCCCAGCCTCATTAGTTCCTACATACCTCTCCTAAGGTAGTAGTGACGGATGTTACAATCGGAAGTGTAAGAAACGGCCCCCAATTAACGATTCATAGTGTTTTGGGCTCAGCTACCCAGTTACCTAGGCTTCTAGACCAGTCTTTGGTGCGACGCGATGTCTTGTGCGATATAGAAGTTCATATAAGCTAGCTCAGGCCCTGTTCTTAATTTCAACCCCGTAAACTTCTCTATTTGCTTTCACTATTTTGTTTCTCCAATGCGATGGAGAACGTCGTACAAAGCGGGAGTGGAAATAACGAAGTCCACCATCTCGGTAACCAACACGAATATTATTACGAATATTATTACCCTTCCGGTTACAATACTTACACGGGTTATACTGGTTATACGGGCTACACGGGTCAACCCGATGGCTCTTTCGAATACCAACCAGCCCATGGGGATCTAGGTCAGGCCCAGGCCCAGGCACCAGAACCGTCACCATCACCGTACTACGCCTATGACAAGTCCGGGTCCGGGTCCGGCTTCCCGACTATTAGCAGCAACCCGTTTCCTCCTCAGGCGCCCTCCCCGCATCCTACACAGTTCGAATATGTCGGCGCCGAGGAACCTTTTCCATTGACACCATCCAAATCAAAACCCCAAATCATTTCGACACGCGGACACAACTGGAACTTGGAGATAGGGGCGCTAGTTGTTAGTTTTGGCGCACTGGCAGCCTTGATTGCGCTGCTGATATACGTGAATGGTCGCCCGCTATCTGATTGGAAAGGGTCCATCTCGGTCAACGTCGTAATATCTGGTTTAGGGGCTGTTTCCAGAACATCTCTAGGATTTGCCATCAGTTCGTGTCTTGGCCAGGCTAAATGGAACTGGTTTAAAAAGCGATCAGACAACCTCATCGCCTTTGATAGGTTTGATGATGCTAGTCGTGGACCATGGGGAAGTTTGTGGCTTATCATTTGGCTTCGAATCCGGTGAGTCTACCTTTTTTTTAGTCCTCCCCTGAATGCCCCGGTAGCTGAATTTTTATTTATTTATTTTCTTTTCAGCCATTGGGTAGCTATCGGTGCGGTCGTTACAATATTACTAATGGCCTTCGAACCATTCCTACAAGCGGTTATTTCATTCCCAGGGCAGGGTGACCCGAGTGTCGATTCCTCTATGAACCAACTCAGCCGCAGTGAAGCACTTGACGTAGGCTCGTACACCGGTGACCCCTCGACTGGAGTTGGAAGTCTGGAACTGACGCCTTCTGACTTGGTTATATCTCTTGACCCCTTTGAGACCCTACCAGACCTAGGGATGCTATCCTCGTTCAATAACGGGTTTTACAATTCTTCGAACGGCGAGAAACAAACTACTTCATTTACCTGTCCTACCGCGAATTGCACCTGGCCGGTATTCACCTCGCTGGCCGTTTGTAGCTCATGTAGCAACGTAACGGACCACTTGCGACGCTTTTATGAATACGGACTAAACAAAGGAACTCTATCCTCAAATACTATGGCGATAACCGCAAACTTTACCGTAAATTCTTTACCCAGTCTCAATCTTTCAAATCCGTCCGACATTGACCTATCCGAGGGCAAAACTCTTTTCTCCTTAGTTGCCTTCATGTCTGCAACAAGGATTACAGACCCAAAACTTACCCTCGCATACCAAAATTTAACAACAATGATCACTGCAGTAGAGGTCCTAAGAGCCGCGCCGGAATACGAAACAGGAAAGCTGATATGGGACGAGACTCCAGTTTCGGCAACCGAGTGTGCTTTATATTTCTGTACTAACGCGTATGAGTCTACCGTCGAGAAAGGTGTCCTTACGGAAAACATTGTGGCATCTTGGGCCGAACGGGACTTTGATTCCTACAGTAATCTCAAGTACGTTAAGAATTTCGATGCCTACGAGAAGTGGAATAACTACTCGTTCTATTCCCAAAACGGAGATGTCAGCCGAAGTAATCTGGAATTATTCATTCCTGATGGAGAAATCGAGAAGTATAAGCTACCCGGAAATGTTACTCGGCGTTTTAACTTGACGCAAAACACTGTTGGTAGCACAGTGCGTTTTGTTAATGACGATCTCTTGAACAAGGTTATGACTTGGCCCGTGGGACTAAATACCGAACCAATCCCAGTTGCACAGGCTCTATATCAAAGCCAAGATCTATCAGCTACCTTTGACCAAGTTGCCTGGACCGTATCGAATTGGATGCGCGATATCTCCGACGTAAAAACCCCTGGCGTTGGGCGGGAGTGGATCATCCATATCCGTGTTAATTGGTATTATATGATCCTTCCCTTGATTACTATAGGCCTCGGCTTCCTTTTCTGCGTGTGGACTATTATAGAGACACGTAGACTACATTTAGATCCTTGGAAGACGAATATGATCGCCACCCTTACGCACTCCGTCGACGACCAAACACGAGCACAGCTTAGGGATGCTGATAGAGAAGGATACTTGAAGAAGTCAGTTAGGGCTATGACCGTTAAATTTGAAGATACAGGGTCTGGGTTAGAATTACGGACTAAACAAGCTTGAGTACTTACGATATACATATACCCCATGAGTAAATTAATATTTCAATTGTGTATCTAAGTATTGCGCGGCATATTTCTTTCATATTATTATGGCGGCGCATTTTATCATGACCATTAATGAATAATCGGGGGATAAACATTAATATCAATGCTGTATCCACATGTCATGTTCAAGATATATCTCCCCCTTACTTCCTACGTGGTGATACGCTGCCATCTTCATATGATCGACTAGCCCCTCCGTTCCAGTTTACTGATTTGAAGATCGGACGATAGGGCGGAGCAGAGGGTAGGGGATTCGATTTAGCGGCGGCAAGGCGCATCCTCTCAAGTCTACGATATCTCCTAAGGTTTTCGCGGGTTAGCTTTGCCGTAAGGGTTGCGGGGTTCAGATCCCCTGATATAGACCTACGGCCCGCGATAGCGTCTTGGATATTCGAGCGGGCCCGTAGGATATCATTGAGGATGTCCTGGAATGAGATAGGGCCGGTAGAATCAGGAAGACCGGAGGTCGCAGAACTAGAAGATTCGGAAAGGAACATGGAATCAATGCCCGGGATAGAATCATACATTTGAGAATCCAGCGAAGGGACTCGACTCCAGGAGCTCCTATAAGAGACCTCGGATCTTTCACGCTTTTTGAAAAATTGAGATGGTGGGATTGGCTGAACCAATTCCTGGGTTTGCTCTTGAGAGGGGGGTTGAGTACGCGGTTGAGTTTGTCTTTGAATCGACGGTCTGGGCTGATAGACTGACCGTCGTTCCGGCGGCGCACAAAATAACCCAGTAGACTCTAGTCGACCGCGCTTAGCAGGCCTCGACTCATTATTGTCGTCTTCCCTAGGATGCTTTTCTCCAGCATGCCCAGAGGCAATGAACAATCCACTTGCCATTGTGTATTAGACTTGATACAATACGGACTAAGACAATGAACTTTACAAGGGTTGCAAGCTTTATCACAGATGTGCATGAGAGCGAGATGAATGATAGACTGCGAAAGATAAGAGAAGGGCAACGTGAACTAAGTATTCGTTGAAACGCCTGCCATGTTCTGTATCAAGGAGCAACATGGCATCGGTATCGCGCTTGTTCCATATCAATGCCGGGATACGTGCACAACTCATGTTTCGTGACGAGCCCCGAGAGACAAAGGCTTTGAGTTTAAACAGGACATCATTTTAGAAGTCACAGGGGTTCGACTTCGTGATAGGGATAGGTTTGTAAAGTAATTAGCTTTTATTAAATTGCTTATGATATTATTTTCGCGGTATTGCGTCTCATCTCGAATGATTGAATACCTCTAAGTAGGTATTTCGTACTTAAGTAGGCAGATAAGGCTCGTAATCATGGATGTATACATCGTCTTTATTCCTATAATAATTAAAGACGTAGTTGGTTCTATTATGATATTGTTTTACTCGACTTAGAAGACGTACGTAGTACTCCTTAACTGGAATAGGGGGGGGTTAAGATAGGGGTTCGCCTCCCGAGCAACCGGAATGAAGATATCGGAACCCGGCACGGATCAGATAATGGTACGGGATCCCTACTTTTCGGAGCACATACGTCATTTTTAAGCCAACGCGCACTCCGTTCCCGCTTTTCTGACGTCGGTAGTATCGAATCATTTGTAGACTTCACCGTCGACAAGGTACACGACGTACTACTACAACATGATTTGGATTTGACGCAACAAGAAAAGAAGCTGATTTGTCTCGTCTATTAATGCATACAGGTAGGTAAATAACTTGATATTGTCTTTTTAAGTAGCGAAGCAGTTAGGATTGTCGCTGCTGTATTCAACATGACGGAATCCATACATCAGGAGCTCGTCGCGTTTCCAGCTGTAGCTTCAACTCGCTTCAACTCATCGTGCATTTCCATTGAAAACCCTCGTTGCTTTTCCACCTCGGTCTTAATCTAACTTGTAAGATGTCCCTGGTGTAATGTTTTCAGTAAAATACTAGCTCTTGTAAATGAGTTTCGATAAAATCCCCCCATAATGTCTCTTTGCCCGAGATTGGCGCGGATCTTGGGCTGTCCTCGCCCAAGTTTATTGCATCCTTCTGTATATCGAGCCTTGCGGGCCGTTCCCTTTAGTAACCCCGCTCCAGCACAGCCTAGGTTATTGCATTCTTCATCTGGTCTGCTATCGAAACCTACCAACCCAGATCCGCTAGAAAATCCGGCGAATGAATTGGCCCCTAATGCTGATATTAATGTCGGTCAGAAACGGCTCGCTGACTTCGACTTGAAGGGCAGAGTCTTCGTCGTAACGGGAGCCGCAGGAGGCTTAGGTCTTGCTCTTGCTGAGAGCCTTGTTGAGGCTGGAGGAAAAGGTGACATTTATCCCATAGCTACCTACATGACTTGCGCATGGAGCGTTATCCATTGTCACTTACCCTTGCTAACAGATGTTCAGTTTACTGTCTCGATCGTCAGGAAACCCCCGATAAGCACTGGGCAGAGGCTAGAAGACGAGTAGTCCCCGAATGGGGAGGTTCGCTTCATTACCGACAGCAAGATGTCCTAGATACAAAACATCTAGACAAGACGATAACGGATATCGCAGATGATAACGGGCGTCTAGACGGTGTCATCGCTGCCGCTGGTATCCAACAGCTTACACCAGCCGTCGAATATGAGCCGGCCGATTCTGCTAAGATGCTAGCCATTAACTTTACCGGCGTATTAATGACCGCAACGTCTGCCGCTCGTCAGATGATGAAGTACAAATGCCGAGGAAGCATATGTCTCGTGGCAAGCATGAGCGGCAGCGTAGCCAACAAAGGCCTCCTATCCCCGGTCTACAATTCGTCCAAGGCCGCGCTGATCCAACTGGCGCGTAGTCTATCGATGGAATGGAGCCCGATCAAGAGCGACGGCACGGGAGGGATCCGTGTCAACTGCCTGAGCCCCGGTCACATTATGACGCCTATGGTAGTTAAGAATTTCGAGGAGGTGCCTTCTCTTAAGGACAAGTGGAAAAGCGAAAATATGATGGGCAGGCTGGCGGAGACGACGGAATTCAAGGGCGCGGCGTTGTTCCTCTTGAGTAATGCGAGCAGCTTCATGACTGGATCTAATCTTGTGATGGATGGCGGACATACTTCATGGTAGCGTCCTTCTAGATGGTGTAGAGAGTGTGTGTTATGATTATATGGAACGAACGTTGGAGTGGTTGTTAGGGATGTACTACATAATACCTATTATATAGAGGAGAACCATAGTTGGCTACCTAACGTAAGGTATTGAATTTAATTTAATATTTATATGCCAGCATGTCATGTTTGAGCAAATTCTATAACTATCAGCTGCTCTAGTCGACTTCCTTGGTGTTTTTATGACTGGGATTAGTGAAGAGTATTATCTCAACCTTTGAATATAGGGGTTGAGAAAAGCTTGTCTCCAAGTAATTCTCCCAGTAATATCCCTGTTTCGACTGGATACCATGTGCTTGTATAATGTGTTTGGCAATGCATCCTGGAACGTCTCTTAATGCGTTATAGCAAACAACACTCAAGAGGATCCGGATAGCTTCCGCTAAACGCAGTCCTATATGTGTCGTATATGAATGATTCGGAACTTTCATCGTAGCTTTATCACGATATCCGCTTGAATCATAACGCACATTTCTTTCCTTCGCCAACTGCCGTGCTGCAGAGCGCGAGATCTCGATGCCGGCCGCCTATGATTGGTTACTTTTCAGCGGTAGATGCGAGCATATATGATATCCTCGTCCGGCAACGGAAAAGAAAAGGACGCGCGAGCTCCAAATACATTTCTCGCCGGGAATTTTAGTAGTCCGGCAGTCCGAGTAAGAAACGTTGATGTTGACTACGGCTGTCGGCTATCGGGCGGCATCCGGGGGCCCATATCCTCGAATGGAGTCATGGACGTCCCAACCCATGTTACTTTCGAGATGATATTTCTAATCGATTGATAAAAGACCCTGATCGCTGTCCAATACCCACAGAACGCGCGAAGGCGCGAAGGCGCTTCGAAGCCGAAGTGGCACCCAGGAACCATCGAAGACTAGACTAGCGTCCCGTTTCTGATGCGTGGAGTTGTGGACAACATCAACCAACCGTCACTCTTCGCTCATCTTGACAGGCTGTCAAAGACCCATACTTCAAGTAAAAAAGTATCAGCTATTACCTCATCGACTTTCTCCTAGGTATTCTCCTAGGTACGTTTGGGTATAATAAGATGAGCTAAACTGGTGCTTTAGACGCATGCTGGGTGGTAATAGCACCGCTATGTCGTCGAAGGAGCGTAGAATGCTTCTTCAGTAAGACGAGGCTCGCAACTTAATCGCCGATCCCGATCTGTAGGGTTTCATTCTCGTCCTTGGAACCTGAGACCCGGTCCGTCAGCCCAGCTTGGAGAGCTTGCGAAGTCGGGCTTTTGATGGTACCTAGCATGAAGATGCCCACCTTGCCCACAAATGCCCCCATATCGAACCCTTGCGCGTTTGGCTGTAGCTCCTTAACTCGCTGTATCGATAGGTCAACTCGTAGAACCGAAACTAGCACTTATACATAGAAATATATAGCATGCCGGATTCGCTTCACGACAGCTAGCTGAAGCTCGGACAATCGGTAAATATCTAAGAGCGAGTAAGTACATTAAATATAGGTATTATATGAAGATGGTTCCATAGAGCTAACTCTTAAGAGAGAATGACTATGTATGGGAAGGGCCGAGAACCGGTAGCCGTAGAGTAAGGGAGGAATGACGGGCTCCTTTATATAGCTCAGTCGCAAGCACCCTGACTATGACTGTAGATTAGCACGCAATATCACGCCATCCTAATACACATCTTCGTTCGAGAGCTTAGTTTAGCAGTCATGCCTCGCCAAATCGATCTACTTCCAACACCGACCCATGTCGAGCCCAAGAAACTGATAGTGCTAAGTGCACCTAGGTGAGTAAGGTCTAGGACCTTTTATATTGAAGATTTAAGAAACAGCTTCTTACTAGACGCAGAACTGGTACTCATGGCCTCTACCTAGCTTTGAAGCTTCTGGGCTTTAAGCCGTATCACATGGCTGAGGTCATCAAAACCGGCCCTCAAGCAATACGTGTTTTGAATGATGGGCACAGGGCTGAGATGTTCCACCAAGGCAAACCTTGTAAGTAAACTTTTTAGAACACCCCCCGGCAGGGCAGCTTAAGGCTTTTTTTTTTTGATTATTCAAAAATGTGCCAGTAAATATACGAAGAGCTAACATGAATCAAAGATGGCCGCGCAGAATTTGATAAATGGTTTGCCGACTATGATGTACGTATTCCTTGCTGTTCCTACCTGTCCGATCCGAACTCACGACCGCTGGGTTTCAGGTAATCATAGAAATGCCCTTCTTCATGTTACGATCGGTATTGAAGGCCTACCCGGACGCCAAATTTCTCCTGACAGAACGAAACCCGGAAAAGTGGGCAAGGTCATTCGAAAACACCGTTGGTATGGTACACAAAAAGTTCAGCTCTCTTCCAATGTCTATATTTAAGTACTTCGACGGGTTTACTTCTGGAATGTCTTCTATGGGTCGGATGTGGGTAGGTTACTACACCAACGGATACGGCATAACCCCGGAAGGGCATAAGTATCTAATTGAGAATTACAAAAACTAGTACGTTAGAGTAAGACTCCCTCTATGTGAAATATATATCCTAACATACTGGATACAGCATCGCAGAGGTAAAGCGTCTTGTCCCACCAGAGCAGCTAAAGGTGTGCAAGCTCGAGGATGGGTTCGGATGGGATGAGATTTGCCCGTACCTAGGCGTCCCAGTACCCGATGAAGAGTGGCCGTCGCTCAATACGCCAGAAGAATTTGGCGAAGTGGTTGCCCCGAAGTTCAAGGCGGCGTTCATGAAGGGTATAATCGGTACAACGTCCATCATAGCACCTATCATCGCTGTGGGTCTTTGGTATTTGAGAAAAGGAAAGCTGTCTCTTTAGAGCACCGCTTGAAGTATCCATCGAATACATACATGGCCCACAACGGAGACAAGCAGTTTGAAGTGTTCGGCACTTGGGACAATTAGGTACTATGCCTAGTTGTAATTCGACATTAACACATAGGCTATCACGGGTGTGACCTCGATCAAGGAAACATCGCGCCGAGTAAGCCTCAAGAATGGCGGCTGAGGATTGATCTCGTTTCGGGCTGATCCAGGCGTTACGGCTAGAAGTCCCTGTATATGTATTTTCAACGACGCATGCTCTTTACCAGCTATTCGTCATAGTCAAGACCATATAGTAATGGGCCAAGAGATAATAATAATTCATTCCTGTATCATACATCTAAATTTCAATGCCTAAATGGTATTAGCGCTGAGTGAAAAATATATCTTATAAGAGGCACTTACTTGAGATGCAGTAACTCTATGATGAGTGCTATATACTACTGATGCGGCAACAAGTTCGCGAAAATCTTCATCAACATCCGGTAGAAGATCGTCCCAAGAATGGCCTTCGAATACTCGATATATGTCGAACGGAGGCGTCTTGAAGTTTACTGCCTCCGGCCATGACTCCCGAGTTGGACTTCCGATTGTCTTGAAAATGCTTAGTATTAGGCCGAGCTGATTTCCGTCTTCGTGGGCCGCTCGGGATTCGAAAAGTTCTCGAGGAGTTTCTCGGCAGCATTCAGCGAGCATAGCTCCGGCTGCCCACATATCGATCGCGGGGCCATATGACCTATCGCCGAATAGTGTCTCGGGTGCACGATATGGGCCCGTGCCAACGTCTAGAATCTTGTTATGGGTAGGCTCCGTGTGGATTGAGAGCTCAGGGTGCCATGCTTCACCAAAATCGGAAAGGTAGGCGGGACCATCGGCCGACTCAAGTAGAAGTGCCGAAGGCTTAATGTCCCTGTGTATTATACCTTTCGCGTGGATATATGCTAGAGCATTAAAAAGGTCCGTAAAATGTTTCTGTATCCGGGCTCTTGGTATACGGCCCTGCTCAATAAGAGTCGTTAAACTTAGGGGCATGAACGGAAAGGCTAAAGTAAAGCGCTGCTCTTGATCCCGGAAAGTCTCTAGCAAAGGAATACACGGTCTTTTCAGCAACTTCAGGATCTTGGCTTCTCTAAAAGGATTATGAGGTTCCCCGACAGAAGTATCAACGATTACTTTGAGAGCCACCGTACTTGACCTATAGACTTCGGCAGTAAGTCCACTTGCGACATAGTGACAGTTTTGATAATGTCCTATAGTAGTGCCAGGAGATTCCGGGGCGACTTGTTCTATTGGAGCAGGTTGCGCTTCGGGCGAAACCGGTGCTTTTTGCTCTAGTAAACTCCGACATGCCTCATCATACTGAGCCTACTACGGAGTAAGTGTTCTGCAGAAATTTAAGATGGACGAATTATAAGCCGTGGGTAAAGGGGGGTAGATACGAGGTGAGGTTACTTACACGCGACGTGGAGGTCTTGTAGGCTTCATTTTCAAGGACAAATGCGCTTTTCTGAGAGGAAGGGTCTGTACCACTTAACCCATCAAGCGCCTCCTTTCTGAAAATAATAGTAATATTAATTAGTACGTATTTACGTGTTTAGAATATTTAGAAGTAATAAAATTTGGATGGACTTACATGGTTTGGATATTATCATAACGATCGGATGAGCTGAGTGAGGCTCTCCAGTCGGAATTGGAGGTCATGATGGCGGGGTTTGGGGCTTTCTCGGTTGAGATATTACCTACCTCCTAAGGTACCTACCTCATAGGATGACGTATATTTGGAGATAGTTAATTGAGGATTCGTGTATTCCGTATGTGGCTTTGGAATGAATTCTTGAAGACCAAGACAAGACTTGCATAAAATAAAGGTTGGACCGGTTCCTCTTTACTTAAATTATGGTATTTGCCTACATGCCGATTAATGTCTTAACGGGATTCCCCGTAGGTGAGAAATACTAGCAGGAGCTACTAACTTGTAAGAGGAAGAACCCACACTCCACCCCGGCATAGCGACTACACTAGGGTATAGCGTAATAATACCAGTAACAAACCTATAACACATGCCTATAATAAGCCTAGTACAATACAATACATAAATAACCATACAAAACAGAAAAAAAGCACACGCCTCAAGTTAGGTACACTACCTAATATCCACCTTTTCACCTTACCTAACCGACCATTAATACTAAATACTAATATCATCACCAACAACCAACCTCGTCTCGTCTCTTCTCTCGTCGTCATTGTCAATTGCGTTTTGGTTTAACCGCTATTCTTCAAATGTTCTCGTAATCTATTTCCTTTCGCTTCTCTCTTTAATACCGTATTTATATGTCTCTCTATCGCCCCCCTCTTACGTCTTTGCTCGTACTACCTCTTGTTACCTCTGTATAATTGCGCTCGTCCTTAATCGCGATGGAAGATCTCTCAAGGGCCGAGTATCCAGCTATGCTGGTAAGCTTACATCCTCGATCTACCTTCTCGATACCATAATTCTATATGCGCACGCAAGCGACTAATTACTTAACCCAAATTTTACAGGCAAACCTCCATCCTAACCAAGCAGTTCATGCTCTTAACGACCGAGTCAAGCGCATTTCCAAAGTCAACACCGAGATCGCCGATTGGTTACAGGTATTATACGCAATACGCACCATCCATCCACCCAACCATCGTCAGATAGCTAAACTGCGACACAGGAGCGTCGGAAAGTAGAGGAGCAATACGTCCAAGGTTTAAAGAGGTTAACCCAGTTTCGGGTCCCTAATGCGCAATCGGAACTTGGGTATGTTATTCAATATTCAATACTACAACATCTTTATTATCGCAACCCCTTTATATTTCTCTAGTATTGACAATGTCATTATCACCAAGGACTTTCCAAGCACCATGGGACAAGATCATCCAATCCGCCGATGCCCTTGCTATGTCGCATCACATCTTCGCCACCAAGGTCGAGAAGGATGTTGAGATACCCCTACGAAGCTTTCACCAGAAGAAAGAGATGATGAACCTTCAGACCATCCAAGGAAACCTTCAGAATATGGCTAGGGAACTAGAAGATGCCCAGGAACGGTCCGATAAGCTAAGTAGGAAGGGTGGTAAAGCCAGCGCCCAGAAGGTAGAACTAGCAGCTGGGAAGCTCGAGTTTGCTACTCAACAATGGGAATCCCAGGCGCCATTTATTTTTGAATCTCTGCAGGCCTTAGACGAAAGTCGTATGAATCAGTTACGCGATTGTCTTACCCAATACGGCACTTACGAAGGGGAACAAGCGCAAAGTCACCAGGCCGAAGCCGAAACGGTACTGAATAGTTTATTGGACTACAGTACTGCGACCGAGATCCAACACTTTGTGGCTAAGACGACGGCTGGGCGGCCGAAGATCGAGAAGCGAACGACTACGGCACGACAATCATCTAGCTTAAGCGGAGGCAATTCATCTCTGGCGCCACCTAGCGTCCATGCCCCGGCTGCTGACGATCGTAGCGAACACTCCGTCTTTAAGGAAGGACAAACGGAAAATAAGCTGCGCAGTCGCATCGGTACTATGCTCGGTCGGAGACGACAGAGCATACATGGTGGTTTCGGACCGCTATCGCCTGCTAAGGGTCCTTTCGGAAGGAACATCAAAAGTAGTCACGGGCTGTCTCCCAGAGCCTCATCTAGTAACCTTGGCGATTCGACGAATAGGCTAGGATCGCTCGTGGAAGACCCCCTTACAACCGAGACGCCTTCTCGGACGTCCGAGACAAAAGAAAAGACCAGCCATGATGGCATGAATGGTTTAGGCCGTGACGGCTCTACCGATGTGGCCCCACCAGGGACGGCAACGTCGCAAGCGTCGCACGTAAATGGCACGTCAATTCCTTCTGATATCGCAGATGTGCCCCCTCCGCCAGGGCCTCCGCCATCCCAAAAGGAACCAGAAAAGGACTCCGAGGGTTTCAGTGTGCCAGCTCCATCTAACGATCCTATCTCCCAAGCAGAGAGGGAGGCAGCCGCACAAGAAGCCGAGCAACTGTTCAAGCTCAATATCCAGAAAGAGCCCGTAGCTGAGGAGGATCCGGAAGAAAAGAAAGCAGCGCTCTCAAACGTCGCCAACAGCTTATCAGCTATGGGAATACCGGCTCGGAAAGGGGGTACTATTAGAGGCCGAAGAGATGTACGCAATACTATTTACGTCCCTGCTCCCGTCTCAGAAGGTTCTGCAACTGAGCACCAACACACTTTCCCTCCTTTACACGCCATATCGTCGAAGCCCGCCGGGGTCGCTACCCTTGCCTCCGAAGCGAGCGTTGCGGGCACATCGGATACTCAGTCCGTCCGCTCTGGCAACTCATTAAGTAGTACTATTCACGTAAAGCACCCCGACATGCATGAGCCAGGCCTCAACTCTTCCGTCATGGAGACGGTTTCTGCAACGTTCGAAAATGGTGAGGTTCGGGTTGTGAAGGTTAATGGCGAGATTGCCTTCTCCTATAACCCCTCAGATTCTTTTAACCTACCTAGTAAGTTTTGTCGTTATTGAAATAGGGACAACGTAATTAACAATCAATAGCTCATATACCTATTCGAATCAACAATTTCGCCACGCTCGACGTTATCGGTCCCAACCGTATTTTCGTCACGAATGACACTCCTGATCACCCCGAGCAATTCACCTTAGATCTCTCACATATTCATAAAACTTCCATTGGCTTCTCTTATAGGCTTCACGTAGACCCAGACGCTACTTCTACCGAACATGTGCCCATTCTTGTTCACCCTGTATGGAAGCCACAGGGAGATAAATTGGGACTATTGCTTCAGTATAAGCTCAACCCGGCTTTCAAACTCGCTAATGGTGGTTCCAGCGTGCAGGTGCATAACCTAGTCCTCTTTGCTACATACGAGGGTAAGGCATCAGGCGCTCAGACTAAACCATCCGGGACACATCTCAAGGATAAACACCTTGTATACTGGCGTCTCGGCGATGTCACTCTATCACCGGATGCAGACTGGCAGAAGATCGTATGCCGAATAATAGGCGACCAGGGCGTAGAGCCTAAGCCGGGCGTTATCGAGGCACGGTGGGAGGTCAGCCCACCATCGAGTTTCGTTGAGAGCGCAAATGCTATCTCAGTGTCAAAGTTCGAAGAGGGCAAGAGCAAGGAGGTAGAGCTCACCGAAGATGACCCGTTCGCGGACGACACCGCTGCCGTAGAGGAAGGCAAGTGGGTTGACGTGCCTACAGTCAGGAAGCTGGTGAGCGGGAAGTACGAGGCGAGGTAGATATAAAGAAGAGTAGTGTGGGGATACAGATTCGAAAGAACAGTGGGGAAATTTTTTGTCTGGACGACGATGATGCTCTTTTGTAAATCAGATTAGCGGGTTGTCAAAAATTGAAGGTTCCATTTGTGCATATATGTTTCGATTATCTCTCATTACTCAACATTTCAGCTTTATGGATAACTTGGAAGGTCTTGATATCAAACTGTCATAGGTGAAATACCGGCAGAAGTATTCTAATTCATGGCCAGTTATAGAATATTTCTATAGTACCGATCCTACGATTGTGATATAAGACTAGAATAGGTATTCAAATGTGTTTGTTGTATATTATACTCTCTATTTTGGAGAGACGCGTAGCTAAATATAAGCTTACTACGTCAAATCATTTGGATATAAGCAACAGGTCTATCGTCCCGAACACCCGTGCAAGCCTTTACAGGGAATCATTACATGCTATGCTATAGCCGCATCATATCACATAATACCTCCTCATACTTGCGGAATAGACATGGAGAGCGCCGCCCCGCTATCAAAAATATCAATAATTCGAACCCATCGACACAACTATCGTACTCGTACTTGACTAGTACGTGGAGACTATCTGCATCTTTCAAATAGTCCATTAGACTACTGACCAGCCCTAGCATGTTCCTCATAGAACTCAAGCGTAAGCGCGGCTAGGAAACCCGGGATACAGCCCTTGTCACGGACCCAGAACTGGATTTGGTCCTGGATGCGGCGGGCGAAGGGGCTCTGCGGTCCGCCGGCGACCTTCATGGTGCCGCGCTCGCCGTCGAATACGATACTATTCTCCTGCTCGTCGGTGACACTAGGGCAATATAAACTTTCCACACGCATCTTGCCGTTGGGAATGAACGTCACGGTCCAGCCCAGCGTGCTAAAGATGGCCTCTTTGAATTCCTGCGACTTAGCCGCCCACACCTCTTTTAGTCGCCGCGTCGTCTTCTGCGCCGACGCCGTTTCCCGCTGCGCTTCTTCGATTTCGCGACGCGCCGCGGCCAGTTGCGACGCCGGGATTAGGGGAATGTTCGGGTTAGGGTTGCGGCGGGCTTCTTTCTGCAGTTGCGCCAATAGTTCCTTGTTCTCCTGCTTAAGCGCTTGGAGCGTGGCCGTTTTAATCGCTTCAAAGTCGGAAGTAGGGTTGGAGCGTAGAGATAGAACGCGGATTTTGTTAGCCGATTCGGCGGCTGCGAGGCGCGATTGTAGAACCTCGTGTTCTTTCTGAAGGACTTGGTATTGCGTCTGCAGTTTCGACAGTTCGTCGGCCAGCTTTCTGCGCTTTCTGTTGAGTTCACCGAGCTGCTCACTCTCAGACTCGTCGGAACGGCTGCGCTTAGATCCGATAGAGGCAGGTGCTGCATTGCCAGATGATTCCAGGGCAGAGAGTTCATTATGCATGGTTTGAACTTCTTCCTTGTACTGATCAACCAGCTTTTCAAGTTCGGAGATGCGATCGGCTTTGCTCTGATCGAAGTTCTCAGAATTAAAGGTTTCGTCCTCCGTGTCAAAGGCCTTGAGCTGGGCGCGCAAGTACTCGACTTCCTTGATGGCAAGGGCACGCTGGCGCTCTATCCGAGCCTGTGCCTTGCCTGCCGATATAGGAGCAGTAGTAGTCTTCAGTTTTTCTATTTGCGCGCTCAAGTTTTTCCTTTCACTTTCTAAGGCCTTGATAATCTCATCACGCTCCGTAATTTGAGGTTGTATCTCGCCAAGCTTTTCTACAAGAGAAGCAGAGTTGTATCGCTCCTCCACGAGCGCACGTACGACCGCCTCAGGAGAGTCAAACTCCATTAGATCACCATCAGCGCTAGCATTTTGGAGGTAGGCAGTCCATGCCAGGCGTTCATCCTCCAATCTCTGTCTCTGAAGTCGAGCCTCGTTGAGTTCGGGTTCAAGAGCTTCAGCGGCCTCAAGACGCCGTTGAAGCGACCGCTTCTCTTCCTCGACAACTTCTACAGCCCTATGTATTTGCCTTAAATGAGTTAATTCCGCATGTTGTTTAGTATTCTTCGACTCGAGTGATCTGATGTGTTGGACTTGTTCAGTAAGTTCGCGCCGGATGATAGCGATAGTCTCAGCGTCACCAGTTTGCGCCTTTAAGCGCAATACATCGGCTTCTAAATTACCGATGAGTTTATCCTTCTCTAGAAGCTGCTGTTGTGCGGCTTGCATTGAGGCTTCTCGGGACTGGCTATCTTGTTCTAACCCCTGGATGACCTCTCGGAGATTTGAAAGTTGAGTTTCCATATCACTGACCCTCTTTTGGGCCATCCGGTCACCCTCCTCTTTTGCCGCTGATAAGTCTTCCAATTGCTCTCTCAGCAGACGCGCCTCGTCTTCTGCATCTCGGGCCTTCTTCTCGACTTCGAGTTTCTCACTGGTGGAACTTTCTTTAAGCTCCTGTAATTCCTTTTGCATACTTTCGTACTGGCGCTGCGCCTTATTCTTATCACCTTCAGCGGCTTGTTTTTGTTTAAAGTCGTCTTCGGCTTTCCGTCGTACATCTCGTAACTCATTGTCATGTTGTAAAGCTATCATTTCCTTCTCCTGTTCGTAGTTCTCAAGCTTGAAGTGCATCGTGGCAAGCTCAGCCTTGAGCTCTTCTATTTTTCTTCGCTGGGTTTCGTATTCCTCTGCGTCGGGCGGCGCAAGATTTTCTTTGGAACTCTCGCGCGACGAGGCTCGGAGGGATTCTGCGCCCACATGGCTTTGTCGTGACGAAGGTCTAGCATGATGGGAAGCTTGTACATCTTCGGTACCAGTCAGGAAGTTGTAGGAAGGTTGTGTTGCTTTTTGTAACGATGCGCGGAACGAGGTAACCTATTTCTTAACTTAGAGTTGATTATCATTAATCAGGATTGCCCGTTAATGACTTACCCTCGATCTCGAAAACGATCCGCTTCCTGTACTTTGACGAAAATTACCGGACATGGCGGTTATGAGTACCTAACATACCCAAAAAGAATGTTGATTGATAAGTTAAAGTGCTTAAAGTGCGGTATCGCGACAAGACCCGCTAAATTGTTTTTGTTGTTTGCGGCTGCCCTGGCAATGCTGCCGCGATTAGCTAGCTTGATACCTTATCACGTGCACATGGGGAAAATGGCTTTGTACATAGGTACTCTGTACCCCCTAGCTACCCCTGCTGCATCTGTGGGTCTTCAAGTCAGTGCAGGAGTTCCTGACTTTGGCTGACAGCTCTTTTACGCATTCTTCCGGGGGTGGCCTACGCCATTGCCGAAATTCAAGCTTTCAGCTGGCTCAGGTTCCACACAGCTGCCACGATGCTATGGTGGGCTTATTAACGTACCTACCTAGGTAGCCTAAGGTAATCTAGGTATTTCTTGCTTCCTTCACTAATACATAACACTCGGTAACATTTTGGAGTTTCTTTTTCTTCTCATATGCGCTACATTTATTTAGGTCATTAGGTACATAACACCTCAACTCGTGAGGTTCCAACACACATGGATTTCTTCTCTCGGTAATACCATTGCGGCTTTTGCTGCTACTACTGACTTCTTCGTGCCACTAGCAATTTGCGCAATTTACAATCCAGTCCGAGAGACTCCCAGTCCGACAATCAAACCCTCGTAACCTCGCTTTCCATATACATATACATTTACACTAACCTCCCTCGAAAACCGGCACTATGGTAATACGACCGACACCTCCCTCGGGTATGTCGTCGTTAGCTATTAGGAAAACCCTCCGACTCCCAATCCATCATTTGGCACGAGCTACAAGGCAATATTCCATACATACAACCCAATTCCAATATCGACCACGCTATGACGTCTCCGGATCTCTTCATATCCAACCAGCCCAACCTGCATCCATACTATGCCCCCGCACATACGCGTCCGATGCGTCTAAAGCTTCGGCCTCTGAAGGAGCTAAAACTGCGCACAAGCTCGAATCGGAAACCGACTCTGCCACGAGCGCTGCCAGTTCTCCAGATGAGCCGCAATCGCAGAAGCATATTGCTTCGACCGACTCGGACTTTGATTGGGAAGAAAAGCCTAATTTCCACATAGAGAAGTTCACGGAACTTCCTTACGCAAACTTTGGTGTAAATCAACATATGATCATCGATCGAGAGTTCAAAGAAGCCCTTCGCCAGCTATTATGGAGATTTAGGGCTCCGATCCGATATGCCTTTGCGTATGGCTCTGGCGTCTTCCCGCAATCGACAGGTGGTACAGCAACTGAGGCTCAAATCAAGGCTGTCCATCCTAAAGCACCTGTTGCTGTCCAGAGAGCCCAGGACGGTTCTCCGAAGATGATCGATTTCATCTTCGGCGTTTCATATACGCAGCATTGGCATTCCTTAAATCTCATGCAACATCGTGATCACTATTCAATGCTTGGGTCGTTAGGATCAGGTGCCGTGTCTTATGTGCAGGATAAAATGGGCGCTGGGGTTTACTTCAATACTAACGTTACTGTGGATGGTATATTAATCAAATACGGGGTTGTCAATATCGACACTTTGTGCAGGGACCTGAGCGAGTGGGACACATTATATCTTGCCGGGCGTCTGCATAAGCCAGTAAAGATTCTTAGAGATGATCCTAGGGTTCGTCTTGCGAATCAGATCAACCTCCTATCAGCGTTGCGGACAGCTCTCCTTCTACTGCCTCCCACCTTTAGTGAACAAGAATTATACGCGACGATTGCTGGCATCAGTTATCTAGGCGACCCACGAATGGCATTTCCTACTGAGAATCCGAAAAAGGTGGCCAATATCGTCAATCATAACATGCTAAACTTCCGACGGCTCTATGCGCCGCTTGTCGAATCTCTTCCTAATGTTGTATTTGATGACCCTGCTTGTAGCAAACCCGATTGGATCGACAATACAGGCTCCGTATTAAAGCTACAACAGGACATGGACCCTGTAAAACGAGGTAACATGGTGCGCCGACTACCAAAAGCCTTCCGCTCCAAGCTATACTTCGAATATCAGAAGAAATTCCAGATACCACAACTCGAATTCAACAAGATGATGGAAGAGAAAAAAGACGAAGACGCTGGCTCTTTCAAGAGGCAGCAGGGCAGTGGCTTCGAACAGCGGATCGCGCAAGACGAGCCTGAAGCCCTTCGAAAAACTATCCGCGATGTTATCAAAAAGACGATTAGTTGGCCTAGCACTACCCAAAGTATTAAGGGTATCCTTACGGCCGGCCCCCGACGAAGTTTCTATTACTTGAGAGAGAAGATGGCAAAACATCGCGAGGCAAGTAAACCCAAGAAGGATAGTGAGAAGCCTTCTTCGTAAGGATTCTCGGTATGCAGAGGCTGCTCCTATTCGTGCATTCAGCTAGCGCTTCCTCCAGAGCGACTCAGAGCAGTGCATACCCGTCGAGGGCGATTATTAAATACCGCGTGACACATGTTACGGTGCCAAAGAGCTAGGCCATAGCTACAAGGTAGTCACTAGACGTCTTGATACAATTCAAGGATCTCGTTATGTTCGGCCCAAAGAACATATCTCATGCACTTAGGAATAGCTCAAGCTTGGCGGCATTAAAGCAGGCCTACTCCAATAGGAAACACCAGCGAGCGACAACTCTTTAATCAAGAGGTGGTTTGCAGCGGTATGGACCTTCTTCCACAGCCTAGAGACGTTTAGCCATGTCATACTATATGTTGGATTAGAAGGCGAGACGAACGTGAGGGGTATACCGAAATCCGCAGAGGGAAATCCTATGCGTAAAAGACACCATTTACTACTCACCATAGTCCAGGCAACTCCATATGTATGTATAGGTATAGGTACACATTTATGCTACCTAGCTAATGACAAAATCAAATAGAAATTTCGGCAACAGGACATATTAGCTACCTAGACTATCAGTGTTAACCTTAGCTTTTATGAACAATTGCAAATCGTATGCCAGCTAGGGTGGGATATATATCAACTTGTCACTGACTGCTAATCTCTATACATTACAAATGCGAAGGGTACGGCAGCAAAAAGCGAAGAGGTTGTTATCATAGATCTCATTATTCGTTGGGAAAAGCTCTACCTGATATATCCCAGAATTCATATCTTACAAGGCTCGTCATTTCGGTATCAAATCTCAGCAATGTCCGAACATCATGGATCCCAAATTACCTTCACCATGATAATAATATAAGAGTCATAGATGCCACGCCCAGGCCTTGGCTTAGCCGTTGACAATGGTGCCGCCGTTGCAATGAATCGTCTGGCCGCTGATGGCGGAACTGTCCGCGGATGCGAGGAACACCACACAAGTCGCTATCTCGCTTGGCTGTGCGGGTCGGCCCATAGGACTAGTAAATGACTTCTGCGCCTCGTCGTCCATAGTAGCCGGGATAAGAGGAGTCCACACGGGGCCCGGAGCAATGGCATTGACCCGGATGCCCTTGTCGACGAATTGGTTGCTGAGACCCCGGGTGAAAGATACGATGGCGCCTTTAGTCGAGGTATAGTCTAAAAGATCAGGTCGTCCGATGTAGGCGTTGATGCTGGCGTTGTTGATGATAGTCGCACCACGCTTCATGTGGGGTAGCGCGTATTTAGCCAGGTAGAAGAAGGGGTGGATGTTGGTGTTGAACGTATGTACCCATTGGTCCCTTGGGTGATTGTTAGATGATAATGTCCAAAAAGCTAAAACGGGAAACAGTCAACTTACTCGCTCAGCTCGTGGATGTCACTCTTCACCATTTGGTATGCGGCGTTGTTAAAGAGAATGTCGATACGTCCCAAGGACTTCAATGTTTCCATGACAACTTTCTTGCAGTTATCCCTGCTCGTCAAGTCGGTGGAGAAGAGATGGCACTTTTGGCCGTGGGATTCCACGATACGTTTCGTCTCCTGGGCGTCCTTCTCCTCGTCGGGGAGATAAACGATCAAGGAGTCAGCACCTTCTAGAGCAAATAAGATGGCTGTCGCTCGGCCAATTCCTGAATCACCACCTGTGATAATGGCCTTCTTTCCCTGGAGCTTGCCGGCGGCCTTATACTTCTGATACCCACCGTCACCAGTAGGTAGGGTATCGTACTGGGCTCGTATGGGCAACTTGTGATCCTTTCCAGGGAACTCTTGATGAGTTACCGGAACTGAATGTCCTATAGTATTCACACACGTTAGCAGTATGCCACTTGATAGTATAACTGTTTAATATGGATATGTCACTTACCCTGTTGGAATTGTGAGTCGGACATGTTGAGTAATAGGATAGTTAACTAAGCTAAATCGAATGAATCTTTCAATAACCAGTAACTGAGTAACTAGCTATATTAACAATTGAATTAATAAAGTTGTTTAACTAAGGGAGCTAGATATATCAGAATGAGGGTGAGTTGATATATAGTCACATCAATGGTCGCAACTAGGAAACGCAGCGAGTCATGACATCACTCGCCATCAATTACACGATGTATGTATTATACGGTCATTATGTAGATCTACGTATCTTAGTCAGCATGCAGATTCAATCTCATCTCTACAAAGATCATGACATCAGAACATCACTTTAACAGCATCAACCCCGTTTGAGCCTCAACTCAGTATTCGTCTGGTCTCAGTAGGTAGTGTAAATCTCTAATATTCCTGATTAATAAATATTCTCTATATATTAGCACTATAACAATACTCCCTCGCCAGCGGGATATTCATTTTTTTAGACCGAATAGGATGAAAGGATCATGCGCGCAAGCAATTGCTACATTCAATACTATTAACGTCAAATACGCCGAGGGCTATGGCTGGACTATATATTCTTTGGACAAAATCGGGGGTTTTGTCACAGGCCGTCCTTATCTATACTAGTATCATCTTTCAATTATTACGGTAGATACGGCGTAGATGGCGTGCCTATCGAAGCACTCAGAGGCATTCTGAGATCCTACCAACCTCGGATTCCATATTCCCAAGAGCTGTCCTCAATGGCATTCAATGAGTTACATTTTTACTGACCATAAGATATAACTTTAAAGGATAAACTAGTTTCTTCAGTGTTGCTTGGCGATTACCGCCCTTTTAGGCGCGCCTCGGTGTACCTTATCGTCATGAATATTCTTACGCGTCTCTTACCAGAAGAATGCGTCCACGATCAGAAACATTTAGCGAGCTAACGCCGTTATATGCATTACACAGCGCCAAGATGTCAAGCCAAGTATCATATAAATTAGTTTCTTCCAGAACTCGTAAGCCACCTACAACCGGGGCTTGCTAGGGAGCTTCGTCTGACCGGAGCTCCCCACAGATACGTCTTTAGCTATGTACATCATCTTGACGTTTGCTACTCTGTATAATATTGGCATCGGTGCCGATTACGAGGCTTCTTCTTGGCCTTAGGTACTGAAATACCGAGAAAGAATAAAAACCCTTCACGTACTAACTCGTAACGGAATCCGAGTAGTTAAAAATGAGCTAATAATCCAATTCCAATCGCAATGGGATGTCAGGACTACACTACATACATACGAAGCTACTCGGCTCGGGCCGCAAATCATTAATCTAGCTGGAAAGGTCCTTTAACTTAAAAGATACATGGACCATCCATGCTCTCCTAACCAAAACACCATCCCTATTAGGATTTCTAGGCACATCGCCTTTTCTAGAAATAACGAAGATCCGGAAAAGCCATTATACGTGAACCAGGGTCAAGAATGGCTAGACAGTATCGTTCGAGAATTTGAAGGACATCCTATCTCAGGGGCTAACTCGAGAAATATACCTCGCCTCGGCGAAACTTACAGTAGTAGACCTTGTCGTTTGTAGCAACACGCCGAATTAATCGCCTTAGGTTAGGAGGTAGTTTTAGTACGTTACCACCGAACATTTTCTCGCGCTGCATACGATGCCCCTGGGAATAGGTAGGTTCGCTCGTTAGTACCCAAGGTACTCCCAGTGTGTCTACCTCATAATAAATCAAGACTTAGCCGAGGAAGACCAACGCATGGCAAATAAACTTGTAAATTAAACTATGGAGTCTTCAAAGGCTACCTGCTTCCCGTTTTTAAGGGTTTCCGGGTCTTCGAGCACGTTTGTTCGACAACATCAGACGACAAACATGGCTGCATCCGTGTTTGGCTCGGCATATTCAGCCTGTGACGGAGAGCCACATTAATTCCTACGCATTGCCGGATATGCCTGTGGACTCTTCTAGATTGAATGGAAGAGATCTTATCTGATCATCATGCATTCACCCGACGTCGTTTTAAAGCCAACGACGTTACATTTACTGGCGAGCCTCAATTTGTCTTAGACACCCGGCAGTGCAAACCTTTGCTACTTTTGGGAACGTTATCATAGCTACTTCGATGCTGCCCGACTTTTCCAACCTAGTATGATGATGTTGTAGTAAAAGGGGACTCGGCGGGAAAAGGGGCTAATTAGCACCACTACTTTAACATGTGGTTTACACCACCAGAAAAGAATATCGTGGCAGTGTCATTTAGAACATGAAGCTAGGTAGTTAGAAAGGACGAGCGAAATTCCCAAGATAAATAGTACATATTGACGTTATGCAGATTCAATGTTGGAAGGAAATAAACTGCTTACTTTCCCTAACAAAGCTTTAGTCTATACCTATAGACTACCTGTCACGCTAGCCCACCAGAACGTCTTTGGCTGTGTAGTACTATATATGCATGACAAGAAATGCGAAACAATGTTTCGCCGATTAACTTTAATTTCCAATTAATGTGCCCATCTCCCAATGTAGCAGGTCGTGGTAGTTTGATAGAACCGAAGCAAGCCTCTAGTGCAACGCAACCACGAAGTCATCCATTCCTAACTCAACTTCCACGCTTATTCATACATGTAATTCTTGGCCACGCTAATACCTGGCTACTACCGTTGGCGAGCGGCCAGGTATGACTTCGTAGAGCTACTCAACAATCGCAGATGCCGCAGCCCAATATCCTCCAGGTAAACTCGATGACTCAGGAACCGGAACGCCCGCGTCTCTTTAATACAGCATAATGCACGAATCCGAGTCAATGTCTATGACAGCGCAATGGCGCCCCGTCGGTTTTCACGTAGGTGTAACAAGCCTTGAAGGCCGCAGAATACCAGAAAAGCCTATACGCAAGAAATCATGAGACTTATAATCCTTCCTCGCTAACGTACAACGACGCTGAAAACTTACAGCATATACGACAACGGCGGTGAACACGGTGCTCGCAACCGCTTGGCCGTCCTTGGGGTCTTCGGTGCCCCCTACGAATTCGTGGTGGTTGTTTCGGTAGAGACCGCCGAGAATAGAGAGGATGACGATGGCGAAGACGGAAATAACCACGCTGTATATGACGAGGTAATTCGTTAGCAGGGCTGACTTGTTGGTGTTGATAGACCTCCTGACACCGAGGGGGAGGAATGCTCACCAAGACCAAGCTTGCATGGCACTGACGACGGGCTTCATGATGGGCGGTTTTTGAGGCCGGCCAAGCGCTCAGCTACGTTTACTTAGCAAGTGGTAGGTGTAAGTGTCGTTGATAGTTGGATTGGCGGATATTGATTCGGTTGCTGCGGCTGTCGCGAATTACGTCGAAGGATGATGTTGTCGGCGCTAATGCGATTGGGAGGATGCGCAATGTTGAATCGGAATGGATGTCATTGGATACCTTAGCGTCAGATGGGGGGTAGCAGTAGCTGCATATATACCGCTTATTAAATCAAGCCGTACTTATCCCACTCAATTCAATAAGCGGCTCCCGATTCTTACGTTTAAAGAGTTAAGTGACTTAAATATTTAAGTGGTAATATTACCGCTTACGGTTTAAACGCTCCAAATATTTGGGGCGCTAGGCTGAGATGAGCCGTACTAGCACGGCTCCAGCCAATGAACCGCGCAGGCTCCGCTTACATCAGCGCGCAGCTCCCGATTTAAGCTGCTCGACCAATGAGCGGCTCGTGCGCCTCTCACACTTTTTGCGCCGCTCGCATCTCTGCGCCGCTCCCGTTTTGAGCGGCTCCCACCAGAGAGTGGCACGTGCGCCACTCTCGATTTAAGCGGCTCCCCTATTGAGCGGTACGTACAGGGTATTATTACATAACCCCGGGCGTACAGACACCTTTATACCCCATAATTACAAATCCACACGCGTGCCTGTAATACGTAACATGGTCTATTTGAAAAACACGTAACCTTCCAATTAAATCAATCGTATACCGTAACCCGTAGCTTATAGCCCGTAGCCCGTAGCTCGTAATTTGTAACCCGTAATCGTAATTGTAATTATACCAATTAAAAATTAAAAAAAATAAACTTACAAGTAGATTCCCATACAAAAACGTATGGGAATATACCTTTTACTTTTTACATATATACCTACCTATGCACTTACCCGGAGCGGTGCACGTGCCGCTTATTGGTAGGAGCCGCTCAAATCGGGAGCGGCGCAGAGATGCGAGCGGCGCAAAAAGTGTGAGAGGCGCACGAGCCGCTCATTGGTCGAGCGGCTTACAGTGCAAGAGCGGCGCACCAGTTGTACCGCTCAAAAAATATTGATTGGCTCCTAGCGCTAATGCGTATGAATTTGGTGAGCTTCACGTTTTTCCCTAACATTTGGGAGCGGCTCATACCTGGGAGCCGTATGTATGCCTTAAGTTTACTTAAGGATTTATGTCAAGAGATTTTAATATGTATTGTAGGTAAAGCTTAGGTAAAGCTTAGTTTAGCTTTGTTAGCCTTGCATATCAGCCTTGCGTTAATTGGTTAAAGCTGAGCGCTAATTGGTTAAAGCTAAGCGCTAATGGGTTGGAGTTAAGCGCTAATTGGTTAAAACTAAGCGTTAATTAGTTAAAATTAAACGTTAATAAGTTAAAATTAAGCGTTAATTAATTAAAGTTAAGCGTTAATGGGTTAAAACTAAACGTTAATTGGTTAAAGTTAAGCGTTAATAAAAAGGTTATTTTATATATATAAATGTTTATTTCTTTAATATCTCAGCGAATTCGGGGCCGAATTACGTGCACTTTAAACCGTAATTTTTAACATTTTTTTATTTAAACTTTAACGTAAATTATATAAGATTTAAGGTGATATTCGTAAAGTTATTAAAGTAAACGTTAAAAAAAAAACCGGGTATATATTATAAATATTATATAAATAATAATAAATATATTAAAATTTTATAAATATAATATTTAAATTTATTATTAAAAATTTTTTATAATATAAATTTAAATTTAAAATAATTTTAAATTATAATTTATTAAAA